GACCGCGCCGAAAATGGCCGTAGCATTGGCGACAACACCGTGGGAAACAGCCTGGACATCACTGGGGACGGCACTGAGGACGGCGCGGTGGGCTTCCGCTCCGCCGCCGACACTGTCCGACAGCCCGCTTTTGCCCGCCACCAGGGTCAGGTTGGCCACTGTAGCCGCCAGATACAGCTGGAATCGCGTCTTGACCCTGCCGAAATAGCGGGACTGGCGGATGCCCAACTGGACCAGTCGGGCCAACCGGTGTTCCACCGCCACGCGGTCGCGCTCGATATTCGTCGTAGGCGGCGCTCTGCTGCAACGCCCGTGCCTCCTGCAGGAGGCCTTCCTGGGGATGGATCAGCACCCGCCGTCCCTTCCTGCCCTTGGCTGCGATGCACTGGACCGCAGTGGACATGTCCGGCATTCGGCCCCGTCGAACTGGAAGGCCTGCAGCGGTATACCCGCCCCGCGGCATCCGTCCGCTTTCCCGCTGGCACGATGGTGTGGGTGACCTGTCCCGCCGGACAGGTGCAACTGCCCGCGGCCAGGTCGATGACAAAGTCATCCTTGGGAAAGTGCTTCCGGTCGGGCCGGCCTGGCACCCGGGCTACCAGCTTGCGGCCCACATCGGCGAAGGTCTGCCTGGTAGCTCCGTCCCCATAGGCGGCGTCGCCCATGGCCTCCTGCACCGGTACACCGGTGTTGGCCTCGCTCTGTTCCACCAGTTCCAGCGCCCCCAGGTTGTCCGGAGCGTTGCCGGGCAGTACCGCCACGGCGGTGATCAGCTGGGAATCGGTATCCACCACAATCGCCGCCTTGTGCCCGTCAAAGCGCCGGCTGCTGCTCTTGTGGCCGTGGCGCATCTCCGGATCATGCACCGACATCATCCGGTCCCGGCTCACTCCATCCTTGAGGCTCACGCCGCCCTCAACTCGTTCCACGTCCTGGAGCAGCAACTGCCCCAGCAACTCCGCCGCCGTCACGATGTGCTGCCGCTCCTCACCGTCCTTGGTCAACTCCCCCTGCGCCTGCCGCGACAGCTCCAACAACCGGTCCGCGTCTCTCACAATCTCGGCCAGCAGGGTCTGCCGCGCCCGTTTGTCGCTCCAGTCGATGGCGGCCTCGCCCTTGATACTGGAGGCAAGGTACCGCCCGTATCCCTGGGCCTTGCCCCATTCTTTGACGGTGATCTTCTCCACTGCCGCCAGCGTCCGCAGCAGTTGGACGATCCCGTCGGCCAACAGGTTGCAGGTGTCCTTGACCGCGCCCCGCCCCAGGATGTTGGTCGTGTCCAGCGCCACCTTCATGCTCCGCTTTTTCAGGTAGCCCGACTCCCGGGCCAGCCGCAGGCTGGACTCGAACACCTCCCGCACTTTGTCGTGCAGGATCAGCTGGGCGCGGAACACCTGCAATGTGCTCTTGGCAAAGGGCCGGTCCTCCACCTCAATCCCCAGGGCCACCTTCCAGCGGAGGTCAAAGTCAGCCCGGGCCTTGGCCTCGGCGTCGCTCACCTTGTCGTGGGACTGGAGCAGCAGCGCCGTCGCCAGCAGGCTGGGCGGCACGCTGTCCCGGCCGTTGTCCGGGCAGTAGAACTCGGCGAAATCGGCGTCTCGGAACAACCGGCCCCGCAGCGAGGCCAGCAGACCGTAGAAGGTGTCCCGCCCCACGTGGTCCAGGTACAACCGGTCCGCTTCCCAGAGACCCCTCTGATCTGATCGCTCTCCCAGCATTCTCCGCCCTCGCTATTTCTTGATGCCCCAAGTATAGCCGCCCGCCCGGCTGAAGCCAGTTTCCGGCCAGATTTCTAGGAAGTGTATATGACCCTTGACTTACAAATTCTTGAGAACCTACTTCATCAACCCGAAGGGCCCGCCCTAGAATTCAAGCAAGCGCAATATCCTTTCGTTGATGCGACCCACACTGAGAAGTCAGAGCTGCTTAAAGATATCTTGGCTTTGGCGAATTCTTGGCGACTAACAACAGCGTATCTTCTTATAGGAGTACTGGAAGTACCTGGAGGACGTAGCGAGGTCCTTGGGGTGAAGGATCACTTGGATGATGCGAATCTACATCAGTTTGTGAATAGCAAGACTCAGAGACCTGTACAGTTTTCACATCAGCAGTTTCTCGTCGAAGGGGTGTAAATTGATGTAATCCAGATACCGGTACAAGAACGGCCCATATTCCTTACGAAGCGTTTCGGCAAATTGCAGGCATATGAGGTCAAAGTGCGGGACGGGAGCTCTACAAAAAACGCCACCCCAGACGAAATTGCAAGAATGGGGGCTGCCCAAGTTCTTCCTGACACGCCTCAGCCTATCCAAGAATGGACTAACGAGCGGGTTATTTCATCATTGCAGAAATCTATCGACAGCATCGACGAATTGAAGACAATACCTAACGTACACAGTCCAGAGTTTAGGGAATGGCACAGGGCCACCCTATACATGATTAAGTCGGCTTTTGGTGACCGTTCAATACACTACTGGGACTATCCCGACATAGTAGACCACATCTATCCAACAAGGCTTTACGGTTTCATGGGATGGAGGATAATTACGGGCTCCTGGAGAAGAATAATTCCTCAAAGACTCGACGAGGCCGCTGAATTGCTCACATCATTCGTAGACGAGCTTAAACGATACTGAGATGCCAGCTTAACGCTAATAAGCAAAATATCAGCATGTTTGGACCTGCCCTAAGTTTCTTGATGCCCCTTGGTGTCCCTTCGTGGATTTACCGGACTCCTGAGCCACCTACCACCTAAGGCCACTGGCACCAACCCCAGCAACGCCACCACCGCGGCAACACGGAAAAACCTGTGGAACAGGGTGAGCCCAGCGTTCTGAACATCGGTCACGTAGGCGGCCATTCGGGCAGTGGATTCTACCGGCGACTCGCCCACCATCGGCAGGGGCAGGGCCAGGCCGGCGGTCAGCGATTGGAAGTGCTCAATTCCCCAAGCCGACAGGGCAGCCAGACCAAGCGTCATGCCCAGCAATCTAGATACCACCACCAGCGACGAGGCGGTGGCGTGGTATTCGCCAGGTGCGGCGTTCAGTGCCTGGGCCATTATCGGCGCGATAACCAGGCCAAAGCCCAATCCCGCTACCACCAAGTGCAAAGTTAATTGTGAGTCAGCCACATCCAGCGTCCATGTGCTGACCAGCAGCAAGCCCACCGCAGTCAGCAACAGCCCTGTAGCGGTAACGGGGCGGTTGCCTACCCAAGTAGACAGCAACCCCCCGATGACGGCGCCCACTGGAATCGCCACCGTCATCCGCAGCAGCCACAGGGCGCCGGTAAAGGGGTCCTTGCCCATCACTGTGTTGGCCATCAAGGGCACGGTCACCATCGCAATGATCAAGGACACTCCCACCAGTACCTGGGTCAGGTTTGCCGACACGAAAGCCAGGGAGCGAAAGAGCAGGGGCAGCAGCAGGGGTTGGGCAGTTCGCCGTTCCAGCAACGCGACCGCCGCAGCCAGGAGCAGTCCCGCGCCCAGCCAGATAAAGGGCTGGGCAGAGGTCAAAGTGAACAGTCCCTTGCGGGAAACGGCCAGAGACAGAACGAGGAGGGTCGCGACCAGCACCGCGCCGCCTAGGTAGTCCACCTTAACGCCCATCTGGCGCCGGTTCCTTAGCAACAGCAGGCCCGGCAACAGCACCGCCACTTGGGGCAGATTCAGCCAGAAAAGCCACCGCCAGTTGGCCAACTCGACAATGGTGCCACCGTAGGCGGGTCCCAGCATAGACCCTGCCTCGGCGGCCCCGCCCACGATGCCCAGGGCCAGACCGCGACGTTCGGCAGGCAGGACGCTGGCGGCCAGGGCAAAGCCGATGGGAACCGCCGCCGACCCGCCTATTGCCTGGATTACCCGCGCGCCGATTATCTCCTCCAGGCTTCGGGAGAGGGCCACCAGCACGCTGCCAACGGCGAAGATGCCCAGTCCCACCATGTAGAGTCGTGGGTAGCCGTACACGTCGGCCAGCCGACCAAAGAGAGGCATGAAGGCCGTGTAGCCCAGCAGGTAGGCGGTTACCATCCACGACACACGGTCCAGTTCGCCGATGGGGATGCGCAGGTCCTGCATCACCGCCGGCAGCACGGTCACCACCACCGTCTGGTCCAGGGCGGTAAAGAAGGCCCCCAGTCCAATAACAGCCAGCACCAGCCAGGTGGGCACGTTACGTTGGGGGGCGGGTTGTGTTTGGGTGTCGGGCATGGGCTATTGCTTCACGTACGAATATGGGGCGCCGAGAGATTCGGCAGGCAGGGCCATTGCACTACAGAAGACCGTCGAAGGGCTCTATTTTCACACCGGAGTGTGGTCACCCTAAGCTTGTCGAAGGATCTAGGATCCCGACCATCGACCTTGGCTTGGAACCCACAGCAAGTATCCCGTGGAACATCTTGGAATCTTCTGCAACGCTCCGAATGACAAGCAAAGCTGCATGACAGATCGGCAATTATAAAAGTGCGTTCGCCAGGGATAGACAAATCTTCGGGATGCAAAGCCTGCCTATACAAGATAATTCCCCCTACTGCACCGCCGGAACCACCTCTGGCTCCGTAATCTCCGGCGCCTCATCCAATACTTCCAAGTGAACCACTCTGACGGTGTCCGGCAGGTCGTTGACTACCAGGGGGCCAGTCAATTGCACCTTTCGCAATCGGTAGTCGGCTTTATGAACCCACAGGTCCACCGGCAATTCGGCGTCGGGCAAAGTGCCAGGGATCAGTTGCCATAGCGCAGCGGTGGGCCCTATTCCGCGTATGTGGTAGGCCGTGACTTCATCCAGGGTGCCTTCACCGACCAGAGTCGTGTCCTCCATCTCCACAAGCAACGCGGCAACCGACTCGGTAACGAAATCAAACCTGAAGGGTATCTGCTCTTTGGCGACAGGCTCCCAGGCCCCGCTGAAGAGATTGGTCATATAGGCTGAATCTTCCACCACTATCACGTCCAGCTTCAGAACGGTGCCCGACACGTCCAAATCCAGGCCGAGCTGGAACCGGTCGGGCAGGGTCGCCGTCCCCTCGGCGCGGGACAGCACCAGTCCGGTGGCCAGGGGAGTGTTGCCCACGGGGTGCTCCAGAATAAAGCTCAGATTCTGTTCTGAGGCCAAGCGTTCCGCCGCCCGCGCCAAAATTGCCCGGGGGTCGGGTAGTGGCGTAGGTGTCGGTGTAGGCATGGGAGTGACGGTGGGAGCGGGGGTGTTGGTGGGGCCACTTGGCTGGACTAATCCCGAGCAGGAAACCACCAACAAGACCAAGCCAGCTGCCAGGGACAGGAGCAGCGCAGCCCACAACCGACGGTGACTGTCCTGGGATTCAGCTATGTCTGGTCCTAATTCCACGACCAGAAGGCCACGCCGCCCTGGGCGATTTCGTTGGGGGGAGTGTCGCCCACTGCGTCCAGCACGTAGATGCGGGAACCGGACGGAGTGTGGCCGTTGCGCCGCTCTGCCACCGGACCTTCTGAACCGGCCATAACCAACTGCGAACTGTCCGGTGACCAGGGGGAGTGGGAATAGGCGTACTGGTCGAAGAAACTGAGCATGGTGAAGACTTCGCCGCTGGGACGGAAGCGGAAAAGTTCACTGGCCTCACCTACCTCCCTGCTGCCTTCCTGGCCGCTGCCCTCTGCCACGAGGTTCACCTTCAACTCAAACACCTGCTCTTCGGCATCGACACCCACCCAGGCCAGGCGCTCGCTATTGGGAGCCCAATAGAAGGCTATCAGGGGTTCCTCGGCCAGGGTACGAAGATTGCTGCCGTCAGCATTCACCAACCGGATGCGCTGGAAGATGCGACCCTGGGGGTCCGGGTTATCAGCCACGGCCAGGGTGCGGCCATCGGGCGACCACATGAAGGCTACGAGGGCGCCAGTGTCCAGTATCCGCCTGGGCACCGCCGGATCGTCGCTTTCGCCCACGCTGATATAGCTGTCCGAAGCGTCTCCGCCCGAGTAAGCCCACTTTCGCCCATCCGGAGACAGGGCAGGGGCCCGGAATCCGGCGGCGTTCGCCAACAGCAGGGCACGGCTGGGCTCGAATGGCCGCTGCAGAAGTTTTACCTCGTCCCGCGAATGTACCAGCAGCGAATCACCATTGCCGCCCCAGCTGAAATACAGGGGAGCACCCCTTTCCAGCGCCATCGCCCCCTCCGTAGTCTGGGGGTTAACCGCAAACAGGGTCATACCCTGGCGCGTGGTAGCCAGGAAGGAAAGGTATTCGCTGTTGGGCGACCAGTAGAGGTAATGGGGGGTACCATCGGCAACCAGGGCCGGCACATCGTTTTCATATACGGTCCGGGTCACCCCGGTGACCGCGTCTATCACCTGAACCGACACTTCCAGCGACCGGTTGGGGGTAATCTGCACCCGGGAAACGGCCAGCCGTGTGCCGTCGGGAGACCAGGTGGGCCAGGCATAGGACTCGCTGAAGTCCAGGTCCTGCACCGTGTAGAAAGCAGCCGTGTCCGAAGGACTGGCGGGCCCGGCCGGGTCTGACGAGCGCGACCGCACCTGCCTTACTCCGGTAAGCCGCCGCTCACCGCTGCCGTCGGGGTTGACCGTGAAAAGATCACCGTAGGGGCCGATGTAGGCGATTCGGTCAACGCTCACGCTGGATGCTGCTCCTGGTTGGAGTTGGGACTGCGGCGATACATCCGCCGGACCGCTGGTCGCCGGAGTTTCGGGCTTCGCTACGGATTCGGAGTTGAGGGATGGGATATCGCCGCAACCGACCAGTGCCACAAGAACTGCTGCCGCCGCCAGCATGCGCAGCCTCGAGGCCGAATTTGCCGAAATACGTGCGAGGTCTCCAAAAAAATGCGCCACCTAAACCCCTGTTCCCAGTTTCCCAAGAATACCATTACGGCCCATTGGTAGCAACGGCGTAGAATGAACATAGCTGTTCTGAGCTAGAATCCAGGCGTTTCCCCGCTTCCGCCATCACTTTCGTTATTCCGGCTCAAGGCCGGAATCCAGGGGTTCACCGCTCAACGGCCTCTCATCAGGCACCGACTTCGGTATCACGGCGATAGCCCAAATGACGGGTCGGGTTCTGAATGACGTCTTGCGAAGCATGACTTGCGTTGGAATAATTGATGACAACATTTGGCCCGGCAGGTAGCGGTGCGCTAATGGACCATATTCACACACCTTATTTCGACCATGCGGAAAGCCACACGAGTCTCTCCGTTGTGGCTCCTACCATGGCCACGGCCAAGTCGGGTAGCGCAAAAGCCAGCGCCGATGGCCCCGCCAGGCGGGTACAGGCCGGCGATGCCCTGATCGAGTACCGGATACGGCGCAGCAGACAGCGCAAGAAGACTTACCAGATATCGGTCAAATCTGGCGAGGTGGTCGTGGCAGTACCCCACCGCACCACTAACCGACAGGTCGAGGAGATGGTCCTCCAAAAAGCCAAATGGATTCTCTCCAAGCTGGCGGTCAACGAACCGGAACCCGAGGCTCCCCAGTTCCTGTCCGGCGAAAAGCTGCCCCTGTACGGGCGGGAATTGACCCTGTGGGTGGAAGGGATGGCGGCCACCCACCCCGGTGTCCCCGAAGTTTACCTGGACGGCCGTCGCTTGAAGGTAGCTGTTCCGGTGGGCATGGCAGAAGAGGTCCGACAGGAACAGGTAGGCAAAGCTATAACAGCATGGTATGGCGACCAGGCCACCGAGCAAATTTGGCAGCACGTCAAACACTGGTGGCCGGACCTGGGAAGGGGCGATGGTCCCACCGTTCAGATTCGCAACCAGCGGCGCCGCTGGGGTAGCTGCTCTCGCGACGGGATACTGCGCTTCAACTGGCGGCTGGCCATGCTTGAACCGGCCCTCACCGAGTACGTCGTCGTCCACGAACTGGCCCACCTGACCCACATGAACCACTCTGCCAACTTCTGGGCCCTGGTGGAACAGCACTTGCCCGACGTGAAGGAAAGGCGGCAGCGGCTGAAGCAAGCGGGCGCGGATCTGCCTCAGCTATAACAGTTAACAGGCAGCCACAACCTGTGCTAAGCACCCAAACCCGCTCACCCTGAGCCCGTCGAAGGATTAGCTACCCAGCGCCAGGCGGTTCGAAAAGCTAACCATGTGCGGATTCCCGTGGCGCCGCCAATAATGTGGGCACTTCGAAAAACGGTTGACTACTGGGCAGTAAAGGTTGCCGCCTCTTCCCCGTTAAGGGTTACGGTGTATTCCCTCCCTGGCTCAAATTCCGAGCCCAGCGGGATGGCAATCTTTTTTATGGGGTAGTCGGCGATGCACATAATCGGCTCTTCCCCCTGTGCTACCTTGTGGTAGGTAAGTGATATCTCAATCTCGTCCGCTTCGCCGCCTCTGATGGTATAACCGTTATCCTGGGAGCAACCACTCCCAGCAGGAATACCGTAGGTTACCGCCAGGATGTACTGCGGTGGAGCGCTTTCCTGGATCTGCAATTCCGTCTCCACCACGTCAGGAAAATCGATTACCGAATTCGGGAAATCGGGATGCGGACGGCTGAAGGTGCCGGTCTTCTGGCCATTTACGACAACACTGTACGACTCGCCGGCCGTGAAGGCATTCTTCAAGTCAATTATCTCATCCAACTCCACCAGTTGCTCGTTGCAAGGGGCAGCCCAGGGCGCCTCTGGAGGCACCTGGTTGGTCAGGGTAACCCGGATGTCGTTGCCGTCCACTTCCCATTCTTTTTCAGCACCCCTGGAACAATTTTCCAGGTCGGACTGAAGGAAGAAGATGCGCAGGATGTCCCCCTGGTGGGGCGGCAGCATTTCCGCACCGGTGATGGGATACTCGGCCTTCACCCATTGGTTGGGGTCTACCGACTCCTCGCCTGACGAAGCGTCGACTGGAGGCGGCTGAACCATCACCAACAGCATGTCCACCTTGCCGGGGTAGTCACGGGTTATGACGTCGTAGGCCGTATCGTTGATGAAAGCCAGCCTACCATCGGCCTCAATGATGCGGGCCTGGATTGAGTAGGTGTTTCGAGAATCGATGTCATCCTTGTTGTATTCCACATTGAACTTGATGGGCACCTGCCCTGGATTCTCGATTACCTGTTCTGCAATCAGGGGCGCGGCGGCATCCTGATAGGAAGTGTCCCGCAGTTGGACTTTCAACCGGGCCCCGGGGGTAAGGGATAACCGCTCCCTGTAGGTAACCGTGCCGCTAACCGAAGCGTTGGGGCTCTTACCTGACGTTACCTGCGTGGTGACGTTGGGAGCCTGATCATCTCCCTGGCAGGCAGCCACGGCCATCGAAGTGATCAAGAGAAATGCCAGCGGTACAACTCCTCTCTTCAATCCATTTGCTCATATCGGCGCCTCGGCTCTGTCAAATAAAGGTGGGAATATATTTCCCTCTAATGATATAGACGAAACCTGCACTGCAATGGTTCCCTATAGATATGGCATTCGTTGAGATTAGTACGAGAGGAAAGTGGACCACATAGCGGAGTAGAGCTCGGAAAGCTAGGCTACACCTAGTGTCCTGTATCCAAAGTACGTTGGCAAAAGCGGGCAACGTTGGCCAGTATTTGGTTGGCGGTCTGGGTCCAGACAAAAGGTTGGGGATCTTCGTTGGTGACGTCCAGATAGCGGTAGATGGCAGCCTCCAGTTCGGCGCTGCTCTGATGCACCCCACGGCGCAACTGCTTTTCGGTGAGCAGACCGAACCAGCGCTCCACCAGGTTCAGCCAGGAGGCGCTGGTGGGTGTGAAGTGCATATGGAAGCGGGGCCGCTTGGCCAGCCAGTTGCGGATCAGCGCCGTCTTGTGGGTGGCGTAGTTGTCCGCGATCAGGTGGACGTCGAGGTCGGCGGGCACCTCGGCCTCGATGGTATCGAGGAATTTGCGGAACTCCACGGCCCGGTGCCGTTGGTGGCAACGACCAATCACCTTGCCGGTCCTGGTGTCCAAGGCGGCGAACAGCGAAGTGGTGCCGTGACGCAGGTAATCCACGTAATCATGGGTGCGCCGTTCCACCTGTCCCGGGCGCATGGGCAATAGCGGACGGGTGCGATCCAACGCCTGGATCTGGGAATTCTCGTCCACGCACAGGACCAACGCCCGATCCGGTGGATTCAGGTATAGCCCCACAACGTCCCTGACCTTCTCGATGAAGAAGGGGTCTGCCGACAGCTTGAAGGTCTCCGTGCGGTGGGGCTGCAATCCGAAGGCCCGCCAGATGCGGCTGACCGTGTTGTGGCTCAGCCCGCTGCGCTGGGCCATGGACCGGGTGCTCCAGTGGGTCGCGTCCTTGGGGGTGGTCTCCAGCGTCAGCGTAATCACACGCTCCACGTGGTCATCGGTAACCGCTCGAGGCCGTCCGCTGCGCGGTTCGTCCGACAGTCCGTCCAGCCTCCGTTCCAGGAACCGGGAACGCCACTTCCCCACCGTCTCATCGGACACTCCCAGGTCGGCGCCCACCGTGGTATTGCTGCGGCCTTCGGCACAGCCCAAAATCATTCTGGCCCGCAGCGCCAAAGCTTGCGCCGTTTTCGGACGGCGAACCCACCGTACCAGGGTTTCACGCTCCACCTCATCCAAAATTACCGGCGGCATTGGTCGTCCGATTGCCATGGTCATCCTCCTCTGGATTGCTAACCCGGAGGATACCTCATCGTGAATACTATTACAACTAACTTCAGTTACACCACACTAGAAACCGGGCCGGAAACTGGCTTCAGCCGGGTGGTCAGCTATACTTGGGGCATCAAGAAATAGCGAGGAATGATAGTGCTGGGAGAGCGATCCGATCAGAGGGGTCTCTGGGAAGCGGACCGGTTGTACCTGGACCACGTGGGGCGGGACACCTTCTACGGTCTGCTGGCCTCGCTGCGGGGCCGGTTGTTCCGAGACGCCGATTTCGCCGAGTTCTACTGCCCGGACAACGGCCGGGACAGCGTGCCGCCCAGCCTGCTGGCGACGGCGCTGCTGCTCCAGTCCCACGACAAGGTGAGCGACGCCGAGGCCAAGGCCCGGGCTGACTTTGACCTCCGCTGGAAAGTGGCCCTGGGGATTGAGGTGGAGGACCGGCCCTTTGCCAAGAGCACATTGCAGGTGTTCCGCGCCCAGCTGATCCTGCACGACAAAGTGCGGGAGGTGTTCGAGTCCAGCCTGCGGCTGGCCCGGGAGTCGGGCTACCTGAAAAAGCGGAGCATGAAGGTGGCGCTGGACACGACCAACATCCTGGGGCGGGGCGCGGTCAAGGACACCTGCAACCTGTTGGCCGACGGGATCGTCCAACTGCTGCGGACGCTGGCGGCAGTGGAGAAGATCACCGTCAAAGAATGGGCAAGGCCCAGGGATACGGGCGGTACCTTGCCTCCAGCATCAAGGGCGAGGCCGCCATCGACTGGTAGGACCGAAACGGGCGCGGCAGGCGCTGCTGGCCGGGATTGTGGCGGACGCGGACCGGCTGTTGGAGTTGTCGCGGCAGGCGCAGGGGGAGTTGCCCGAGAATGGTGAGGAGCGGCAGCGGATTGTGGACGCGGCGGAACTGCTGGGGCAGTTGCTGCTCCAGGACGTGGAACGAGTTGAGGGCGGAGTGAGCCTCAAGGATGGAGTGAGCCGGGACCGGATGATGTCGGTGCATGATCCGGAGATGCGCCACGGCCACAAGAGCAGCAGCCGGCGCTTTGACGGGCACAAGGCGGCGATTGTGGTGGATACCGATTCCCAGCTGATCACCGCCGTGGCGGTACTGCCCGGCAACGCTCCGGACAACCTGGGGGCGCTGGAACTGGTGGAACAGAGCGAGGCCAACACCGGTGTACCGGTGCAGGAGGCCATGGGCGACGCCGCCTATGGGGACGGAGCTACCAGGCAGACCTTCGCCGATGCGGGCCGCAAGCTGGTAGCCCGGGTGCCAGGCCGGCCCGACCGGAAGCACTTTCCCAAGGATGACTTTGTCATCGACCTGGCCGCGGGCAGTTGCACCTGTCCGGCGGGACAGGTCACCCACACCATCGTGCCAGCGGGAAAGCGGACGGATGCCGCGGGGCGGGTATACCGCTTGCAGGCCTTCCAGTTCGACGGGGCCGAATGCCGGACATGTCCACTGCGGTCCCAGTGCATCGCAGCCAAGGGCAGGAAGGGACGGCGGGTGCTGATCCATCCCCAGGAAGGCCTCCTGCAGGAGGCACGGGCGTTGCAGCAGAGCGCCGCCTACGACGAATATCGAGCGCGACGCGTGGCGGTGGAACACCGGTTGGCCCGACTGGTCCAGTTGGGCATCCGCCAGTCCCGCTATTTCGGCAGGGTCAAGACGCGATTCCAACTGTATCTGGCGGCTA